TCAATGAGTACCAGAGGGATCCGGCGTGGTTTTCGTTCTGTTGCCTTATGCCTGCTGTTAAATGAGGAGAAGGGAGACATGTGGAGCAGGAGACCAAAGAACGGGGGAGAGCTTTTAGAGAGGGAGAGGTAGGTTTAGGTAGAAAACAATGGTCTGCTCCTCAAAGAGAATATGCATGGCATGGCGAGCACTGCTCCGGTAACAATAAGGTTGTAAAATCTTCATCTCCACCGGCCCCGTGCATGGCTCACCTTGCCCCTGCTGACTGGAGCTACGAGTCTCTCCCTCTCAATGAACACTCCCCCCACATGCACGTTTGTGTCTCTATATTTCCCAGCTAGTCCATTTGTTATTTCACCATTTTACTTCCCTCCTCTGCTCTCTCTATCTCCAACCTTCCATCTCCTCTTTCCTTTCCTTCTGTCCTAAGGCTTATTCTGCCTTTTCCCTTCTCCGGCTCCCTGTATTGTTTCTATGTAGATTCTTTTTCGCCGTACATCTTTATTCCCTGCTTCCTGACCTCCTGAGGGAGCAACAACTCTCCAACTATTCTCTCTCTCCCCCTTTGTCTCTCCATCCCTGGTCTCCGTGTTGCTTTCTCTGTGCTCTGTCCAGACTGTGACCCCTTCGTGCTGGTCTTAAGGGTGAAAGTCATAAAAGATAAAAGGACTCAAAGGACCCATCTGAAACTGTGATGCAATCAATGCTCGGACTACACAGACCGTTCTATCTCAATCAGTTTTAGCTGCACCTTGATGACACAACACTGTGCTTACGGAGTTGTGATACCATCAAACCTGCATAAACTTTGGTACAGAAGTCAAATAAACCACAGCAATCTGTTTTTAATCCAAAGCACAACTCGTATATTCCATGTGAAAAGCACACATTCACCGCACATAAAAAGTACCAAATCAAAAGCTGACCTACAGCATCCGCTGCTTTCAGCCAACCACAGTCACGCAATCCCGCAGTGCATTGTGGGGAACTAATTAGCATGAAGAACTGTGGTCTTTGAGCAGACATGACCTGCAAGTTGAGCTCCCACTTCTTCCTCACACGTCCTCCACCTCTCCGTGCCCGAGGCGCTGTAGAGGAGGTGTAGTCACTCGGGCGTTGAATTGCAGCCCAAGTGATCAGCAACTCAGGGGAGGGGAGGGAAACGAGGGTGCTCCCTTGACCAACGGCGTGTGCGCGCGTGCATTCCAGTGCGTGTCAAGGTCAGCGCGGTGAAACAGCAGCCGATTGACTGCTATCATCCATGTCTATCACTGTTCTGCTCCTCGGCGTCTCCTCTTTGTTCCGCCGGCTGTGTTCTGCGCTCGGTGTGGTCTGCAGCAGAGCGCTGTGGTGTTCTGCTCCTGACTAATCAAAGCAGTCATTGTCAGCGCGCGGCCTCATCTGAAACACGTGGCCACGTCGGTTCCCCCCAGTCGCCGGCTTTTCAACGTTCAGCAGGTTCCCGGGCTAAAGGACTCAAAAGTGTCTTGAGAGAAAGACGTGAGGAACGGGGCGGGATACCGTTTGAATATACTATGACTGCGTGATACAGTGTGTCGCTGTCGTTTTTTTAATATATCGCACAGGATGAGTAGTGGAGATGAATACAATACAGTGAAACCATGTGGGAGAGTGCCGGCGAATTTGTATATATTTTCATACAGTACTGCGATATATTGAGGACAGTTTCCTTATTTGTTTGTGTGTGTTTGTTTGTTTGGTGTGTGTGTCTCCCTGCGTCAAAGTGTTCTCACGTCACTCGTGCAGTCGACTGCAGGGTGACAGCGTGGCAACATATTCCCATAGTTTACCTCGTAGAGCAGGCATCCTAGCGACCAGATGTCAGATTTGAAGTTGTATCCGTTTTCATGTATCCTCTCCGGTGACATGTAGTAAGGAGTACCCACTGCAACACAAAGGGAGAGGGGGTGAGGAGGGGAGGGGGGCGAGAGAGAGGGACAGAAAGAGATAGACAGAGGTAGAGGAGGACAAAGAGACAGTGAGCGTTGACATTTTGCCCCCCCAAACCCCCTCCCTCCCTCGGTTCATCAGCATCACTGGCGCACCTCACACGGATCAGAGAAGCAGGTGAGGAGCGGAGGTGTAGTTTCACACCGTGACACGTTCAGAGGCTGGAAGAAACTCGCCGTATTTTAACGAGAGTTCACAAAAGGAAAAGCAGGGGGGGACGTTCAAGCGCATTGCCTCGGTTATAGAATTAAGAACGGCTGAAGTAAGAGTGTATTTTGTACGGCTCGATGTCATCGTGCACACTCGCACACGCAGCATATACATGAATCGGTTTTGATTAGTGGGCCTGGGTAATGATCTGAAACAGTAGTCGGCCCAGGGAGCAGCGTGGAGCCTCAAAAGTTGGCCCGTTCCTGGTTCTGGTTTGGAAAGTCAAGAGTCCCTGACTGCCACGGGGACTGGCAGAGAATCAGACGTTCACCCGACTGGACACAAAGACGAACCACAGCTCAACATCACTACCTCAACACACAGCGGGGTGCTGCGGAGATCTGCTGCTTTCTTAGCCGGCTACGACTGCCCGTTCCCCCCCCCACCCCCCCCACCGGCCCCCCATTTGCTTTCCGTTTGCTGTGATTTCCCACGTAAAAGTCTATCAAGCAAATCCAGCAGACGTTTTGTATTAATCACACATGGTTAAAGGAGGGAAATTTTACCAGGCTTCTAACCGGTGCTGAGCAGCGCTGCGACTCTGCACATTCCACCTCCTCTCAAGCGAACGGGAGAGTGGGCTTACTGCGACATGAAGAATGCACAACTTCCACCGGAGGCCTCGCAGCAGAAGACGATGCCGGCTGCGCTGTGGAGCTTGAGCTTTGCACACTTTTTTTCTCAACCTGAAAGTTCATTATGTAACACTCACATATTTGAGTTCCTCATAATTGAACTATTTCAACATAACTGAAGTCTGATTATAATAAGAGATACATGACTAAGCATGGCATCGGAATATGAATAATCACTTCTATACTTGTTTGAAGTTTATTTCCACTCTTTGCTCTCCGGTGCTGTAGTGTACAATTCAGTGAATCTGGATTCCTTCTCCAAGAGATGACGCTGTACATATTTAGCAAAATAGCTTGTTGCGTGATTGTTGGAATGAAGTATTTGACACTACACTAAAGGATCTTTTTAGGTCAGGGCAGGAATTTCAAAAGGCCTTGATGCCCTTCTGAAAACAAACCCGATCAAAGAGACCCAACTCAGCCATGAGGAGGAGTTGTCACGATACGCACAAACCATTGAAGAGACCTTGGTTTTAATTAATAAAACTGTTACAGAGGGCTATTGGATTTGAAGTCTATGGGAACGACATAAAAGCTAGTGCTTTTCATTTTGGTAAAGAATTAATTGGGTTGAAAGATAATGTTTAATCTTAAATGTGTGTTTTTTAATAATTCAATAAAGTGTTACCTGTCATTCCAAAAAAAATCAGCATCTGCACAGGCTGCAAGTGGAAGAACAAACCGGGGACTGTTTTAATTGGTCATCCATTGGTATTGCATGAATGTGTGCGTTTTTGTGCATGTGCGAGGTGTGAGGTCTCTTGGTGCGGTCTGAACAAGCTCCCCTAAGATTCATTATTAGTTGATTAAAAAGAATCAGCCTAGTTAATGCTAATAGTGGTGTAAAAGAAGGCGGCCGCGCCGGGCTGAGACTCCTTCAGCAAGCTAAATCAAGGGCACATTACTTATTCATGCAAATAAATTGAAAGCCATGTTTGGATTGATTTCCATTATTGCGAATGGCTGTGACACCGCTGTACAAAACAGGGTAATCGTTGTATAGGAGGCGATATGCCATCCGCTATAATGAAGCCCACACTTCTAACCCCCCGCTGAATGAACCAACATTGGTGATCATTTAAATACATTTATTGATTCTGGCTTGCTGCAGTTTCCTCATCAACAATTCAAACCCAGAGCTTTTACACAAGCGCTTACACGCGGTGATGAATTTCGTAGGGAGATTCCATGCAGGGCGATAGCCTTCTGTCAGCTAACCTGTGCCCTACCAACACTTACTGTATTTTAAACAGCATACGGGATTCTGCTGCACTCTCGAGTGCTACGGTTTACTTTCTCATTCAGACTTAAGGCACGAGTTTGGAAACCTTTGCTCTATCGTGTTCCAAAAAATACAAATTTAAGTTTTAGGTAGCCACACAGCCAGAAGGACTTATTCTCATCGTCAGAAAGCCTTTTCTGTGTTCCCTTTATATTTGCATTATGGGTTTCTTGGCTCGCCACCGACCCCTCTCTGTTTCACGACTTGCCTTTATAAGATAACCAAGGCTTTATAAAGGCCTACATGTTGGAAAAGTCATAATTATTTTGGACGCCTCCGTAAAGTCTTTCTGCTTCCATCTTGTTCTCCTTCCTTTCCCATGGTACTCGCCGTTAACACCTCTGTCATTACAAGTGTTAATTGCAGGTATATTATACAATTTATTACTGACAATTGGCTACTCTCTAATCCCCATGGATTAAATCAGTATTGCTGTTACCACCGTTCTTTTAGTCTTTTTTCCTCCCTAACCCGACTCTTGCCACTATCCTACATAACCATCCTCAGCCAGTGAGACAGAGTGTGTCTTTTGCGTGCTTGTGCGTATTGTGTCATTGACAGTTTGTCGGTTTGAATGCTCCAAATCTGCGCGAATGTACATCATTATCTTATTCCTGTATGTGCGCGTTGCGTGCGTGCGTGTATGAATTCAAGCCCATATGGATATGCACATGCGTCCCTTTGAGTACATCTGTATAGGAGACAGAGAGTCTGTGTGTCTCCCAGAGTGTGCAAGAGTGAGTAAGAGCAAAAGAATGCGTGTGTGTAGGTGTGTGTGTGTGTGTGTGTGTGTGTGTGTGTGTCCGTGTGTGAGAGACTGCAGGCAGCTGAGCCGCTGAGTTGAAAGCCTGCGAGCTGACAGGCTGTATGCCTGGACCTCCATCTCATCTCCACCACCCTGCTCTACTGTACAGCTGGGTGGCTCGGCTCATTACAGACCCACGAAGGCGCACGCGCACACACACACACACACACACACACACACAGACACACGCACGCGCCTCAAATTCCTTCTTTCTACCCTTCTCTCTCTCTGACTCTTGCTTTCATTCTTCTCTCATATTGTTGTTGTCACATTGTCATATTCTCCTCTATTTCTTTCTGTGCCTCCTTCTTGCTTCCCCCCGCCTCTACAAATATTTTCCCCCTCGTTCTTTCAGTGCAACATTCACATCTCTCACACCCATTCTAGCCACTCTTTGTCTCTCTTTCCCTCTAAAAGTCAAAACACCGCAGGGAGGGTCAGAAGGAAGGAGAAGTGAGGACAAGTAACACCAAGAAACAGCAGCGGGGGAGAAGGATATTTCACAGAGAAAAAGATAGAGCTGCTTTTTTCTTTTTTTTTTAACCTAAAGAAACAGCAAGGGTAAAGCCAGGGACTTAAGGTGTGTCAACACGTCATAATCACCTACAGGGACATAATCTGCTTCTACAGCAGCAGATTATCTACTGAAAGCATACTGATAGGGTTAAAATATTATTAAAAGGATAGGAATTGCATATAAAATATATCATTACAAAATCACATTTGCATACTTTGGCGTTTATTTGTGGTGAGTTGATTTAAAGAATCGCAGGACCAATGTGGCTGCTTTGGATCAAATGCGTCTGTTGCGATCATCGAGTCCCTGGCAGCAAAATGACACTTTGATCTGTGTAGTTTTCTGGGGATTATCGAAGCCTTCTTGATTGTTTCAGATTAATGATGACAGTTTTCCAGTCGACCTTTGTGCTTGTGGGGCTGCAAATTCCCTCTCGGCCTAAAGAGGGTGCTGTGGATTCAACTTTAATGAGCAATCACAGAGGCTTTCACCCGACTGCTGGCACCGGAGGCTGCATAGCTGATCGGACCAATGTTGAGCTGATCATGTGATTCACACCTTCCCAAAACAGCTGGGCCGCTGCTGTAGAGGGGCTGAGAATAGCACACTGTTTGTGGTGCTAACAGTTTGACATAGGGAAGTGCCACTGTGTGAATGACAGCCTTTATATTTGTCTATGAAGCAGCTGAATTTGTGGGGATGATTGCCAGTTACAGTGTAACCATCTCCACTATAGATTTACTGTGTATTACTGGACGAGCACTGGCTTAAAATGACATTCATTCTATCACTGTTAACACAACAAGATAAATAAAAATAATAATAATAGAAAATCGGAATATGTAAAAACTATTTTTAAAGGGTACTATATGGAATTTGTAACTGTGGATTTTTTTTATTCTGGTACATAAACCTGGCCACAGATATTAATTGACGCTATATAAAACAACAGGACACCCTTGAACCAAGGAAAATGTGTTAATGTGAGTCTTTGTGTGTGTTAAAGAGAGGCAAGCTTGTACGTAAGTGGTACAAGAGTCTATTCCTTGAAATAGCATTTGAGTAAATTATTAAATAATAAATTACTCAAATGTTGTTTCACACACTTGAGGTTACAGGCTCGACTCTAAAAGAATTACAGTAACAGCGCCACAGTCTTTAAGCAACATGAGTTTAATAACGCATTCTAATACGTGGTGACAATCGGTTCTTCCGTTTTGTACAATTTCAAGTTCATCACACTCTCATTTCAGAAACTAAGCCAAATGAACTTGTCTTAATTAACGAGGGCTGCAAATCTCACTTCTTTGAACAAAAAAAAAAAAGGATTTATTTTCTTCAAGTGAAAAACACTGCCATCAATGCCAAACAGTAACAGGGATTGTAAAGTTTGCCGGCGTGTTTTATGGAACACAGTCACAATCAGAGCTGTGTAGAAGGCCTCGGTCCAGTCTTGGACTGTGTTAGGTTTAAAGGTCAAGGCAACAGGAAGTGGCTAAGTGGCCTATGAAGGGGCCGGGCACAGACGCGGCCCCGCAGCAGGACTACATGACACATGGCCGGGGGCTCGCCGTGCCTAATGAAACACATCAAACATCGGGTGATTACTGGGGGCCGCTGGGTTTAAGTGTCTGTGTGTGCATTTGTGGGTTCATGAAGGACGATGTGTGTTTACATGTGTGTTTACGCACACACAGTATGTGTAGACTGCAGAAAACTTACCTAGCGAGTGAGCGGCGGTTGTTTTGGAGCTGAAAAATCGGCCCAGTCCCAAGTCTCCTAGTTTCACTACTCCTGTAGCTGTGATGAATACGTTGGCCGGCTTAATATCTGGAGAGAAGAGAGGTCGCACACGACTCATGGTGTCATTGGTTAAACTGTTTAAAATTTGTATGTTACGTTAATGACGGAGATCGGATCGAATTCAGAAAACATGCCATGAAACGCATTACATGCATGAAGCGTACAATGAAAGTATTCATGTCACTTGATGTGGGCGTTAGCAAACCGTTTCTGTTGCTTTTTCCAAAGAGATGTTAATGTGCCCTGCGCCACTCTTTGAAATTTACTGCTCGAATATAATTGTTAGCATCTTTTGAATAGGCAGCCTGTGTTAAGTGGTCATTAAAGCGCAGAGCTCAGGGTTCATTAGTGTCCGTGCTCCCTAATCAGAGTCAGCCGAACGGAAGTACACCACCTGTGTGTGTGTGTGTGTGTGTGTGTGTGTGTGTGTGTGTGTGTGTGTGTGTGTGTGTGTGTGTGTGTGTGTGTGTGTGTGTGTGTGTGTGTCAGCCTATGCGCATGGATCCAGTACTTGATTCGACTTAGCTCTACTAAAAGCTTGTGGGACCATAAACACTGTGTTCTCCGGTCTTTGTGTCGTTTAACACCTACACAAGTTTGATCACTGATCAAAACTTTCGCAGATGATCAGTTAATATTATACAATACGCTTTTAGATATCATTTACATGATAAAAGATGTGAGCAGTTGCAGCGTTTGTAAATCCCTCCTACATTTAATTTTTTTTCTTGTATTTAATCTGAACAAATAAATGTATCAACATACATGTGGGCGTATGCTATATACAGCGTGTGTGTGCACGTTGACGCTACCTCTGTGCATGACTCTCCGGGAGTGCATGTGTTCAAGCGCGCTGCAGAGCTGGACAAAGTATTTCCACACTGTTCTCTCCGGGATCAGCCTCCTCTGTTTCTTGAAGTGCTGTTAAGTAAACACACACGCACACACACATACACACAATCAATCAAAAATCCAAATGACATGTTAAATTGTTTTTAACAGGAGTGGGAAAGGTCTTGCGTGGAACGGAATACAATTTTTTGCAGGCAAATGTTCACGTCCCTGTGTGTTCACACAGCATCCGGCCCCGGTCCCGACTGCTAATGCAACACAGACTACTCTCCTCTCGGTTCGTCCTTTGCCTAACCGAGCTTCGTCTCATTTTCTCTATGGCCTTCAATGGAAAGCACATGGATTGTTAGGAACTGAGAATCTGTGGTACCGTCACAAACTTTCCCTTCTGGCACAGCGCTCTTTTGTTAGGTAGCCCCTCAGTGGCACAGTGGGTCCAGTTGACTTATTCTTTTTTTTTTTTTTTTTTTTCTATTTGAGGGCTCAGAGTTGTTTTGGATCATCAAGAGTGGAGTCCAATCCAGGGAAGCCACAGTGATGACAGCGATTCTACTTAACCCCACTGGCTATATAATAATAGTAATGATAATAATAATAATAAATCAACAAGTGAGGATCGGAACTCCTCCTGGCTACCAACAGGATCGCATGCAGAGTCCTCATACCGAACACTCACAACGGTTTTTGTCTTTGTTTATCAAAATGATAAACTGTCAAACATTTGAAAGAATAAACGTATTCGTTTTTTGAAGGTATTCCTTTTATTTGGTCAACTGTTTCATCCCTTTGGTGTCTGCGAGAATTTAAGAATCGTGGAGACAACTGTGGTACAACTAATGCGAAGTATCTTTTTTATGTGTGTGTCTCCCTTTGCGGTGTCTGTGAAGCCATACTATTTATGACACTACAGGTAATTGAACATCTAGTAGTAGGAGTTTATCTACCATATAAATACAATAAAATCTCTGGTGTGTTCAGGATTCAAAGAGGAAATGAGGCCCGTTGCCCTAAGGTACCGAAGCGATAAAGCCAGAGACATAATGGGAGAAAAGATTGAGCGAGAGACAATAGATAGTGGAATGATGAAAAAAAAAAAAAGGTTGTAGGTGATGTTAAGAAATACAGAAAACAAAAAAGAGGGAGAGAGAAAGATAGATGGAGAGAGCGGGAGGGGGAGACCTTGGCCTACATGCAAACAAAGCCTTAGTGAGAAGCCATTCTTTGCTTGCCCACCCATTTCCATATCAGAGGACTGTTTGATGTCAATGGGGGAGCACATAGGCGCCCACCAACACCACCACCACCCTCCGACTCTTCTTCTAGCCTTTAACAGCAAACACTGCACATGCAATATTCTGTAAGTGCATGCAAATCAAGCATCATTGGATTTCATTTGAATGCTAAGATGGTCAGAGACAGAGAGACAGGCGAGCAGTGTGGAGGATGAGAAATCCAAAAAGAAAGAAAAAAAGCTTAATTCATGCATGGGAGCAGGGGGAGGATGTGGGGGGTTGTTTTTTTACATATGGCACACTGTTCAAATGTGTTTACTTCACATTACGGCCCCAAAGTGGGGGGGCTAATCCGTGGCACACACCTCTGGACTGCCACTGTGACATTAGAAACACAAATCATTTACAACTGTGAAGGACACTAGTGGGGAGAAGTAGAGACATACTGCGTGTGTGTGTGTGTGTGTGTGTGTGTGCGTCAGTGGCCATAAGGAGACGACGCAGTCGGAGGGCTCCCAGCATTGTCGGTAGCTTGGGTAACATAGCAGTGGCCCTGCGTGGTTTCTTATCGTACCTCTTCAGGCTGCCTTGATACATCTCTGTAAAGTGCATCTCTGAACATCTGCGTGAGCGTGTGTTCGTGTCGGCACAGTGTTTGCTTACACACAGTACACCATATGTATGAATTCAGTGTGTGTGTGTGTGTGTTCACCAGATACATATCACTGGTGCGAGTGTGTGTGTGCTGAGCCTGCCATGTTCACTCTGTTGTAGCGCTAATCCTCGCCTCTCCTAATTTGCTGTGTTGAACTGTGCGGCTGTGGAGCTGCTGAGTATGACTGCAAACAGGTTGTCGAGCTGTGCCGATACAACGCTGCGCCATCATTTATGCATGGGAGAAGAAGACCAGGCTTTTTACATGCACCACTAATTTGTTATACTGGCAGGATTTTTTTGAAAAACTGGGGGTTTGGTCGAACTCAAAGACGAATAACAAGGTGAGCCATTTTTGAACGAGCCTGCTGCTTCTGCTCCAATTACAACACCATCCCTCCACAAAGAAAAAAAGATTGTCGATTTAGGTACAAGACATGGTCAACTCGGCACATACCCTATGTACGCATTTCAAATAGACATTTGCATGTATTTTGACAAGAGAATGTCTCATCTACTGGAGATTCAGCCGGTTGCAGCTTGCGGCTTTTGTGGCAAGAAACCTCTAGTTTAATTAAAGCCAGATGAATTACGCTCGGTACGCGTTCATATGCACCGTGCATGCAACACATGATGGAACTTTATGACCATTAATCATCGGCGGATTCTCAACAACCCTCTTATTGTCCACACAGAGTGCTGGGATTAAAGAGCTCACATGAGGCATTTATTATAGTTGGTTTTTGGATCATTAAAGAATGGATGATTCAGATTGACTCAGTGTCCAGGTAGTGAAAAGCCCTTAAAAACCACAAACCAGACTTCCTGCCACCATCCGCTCAGTAAAGGCCCTGGCAGCAGTTTATAGCATTCCTTTTGACACCAAATTTGTGATATTGTGTTGAAATGGTTGTTCTGTCAAAGATACACCAGAATTTCCTGTTAAAACAACAACACACTTTATTTGGAGTTTATGTTATAAAAGGTTGCGTCAGTGTCGCGTTTTGCTTGGAGTATATTACGACCACCGAGCAGGCCGAGAGTGCAAACTGGGGGAGGTTTGTTGTTGTGGAGAGTTCCTTACCTTGATCATACGGGAGAGGTCGCCTGCATCGGCTAGCTCCAGGACTATATTCAGCTCGTTGTCCTCAATGAAAGACGCATGGTACTTTATCACGTTGGGGTGGTTCAATTGCTATGGGAGAAAAGAAAAGACATGTCATGAAGAACGACAGAAGGAGCGATCAGAAGACATGTTGGTAACACTTTAAGGGCTTCTGTGGTCACACTTCCTAATCCAAGAGTGAAAATCATTTATTGTTGAGGCTACAGACAGTAGCATCTTCTTGAAGACTTGTAATACAATGTCTATCAAAGAGCCACATCACTTATTAAAAACACAGAGGTTCATGTCATGAGTTTTGCGATCCATTGTTTTTTCCCCACCAATTAAAAGCAAACAGTTGAGTCCGTATTTGGAAGCCCTACTCTGTAAGGGTGGACCTAATGAGACAATTTTGTCCTCCAGTGTGACAAAGCTGGGTGACATGTCAAAACAACCCCTCTGTCTGTGACGACAACAACCCATGTGTGAAACAAACAAACACACACACACACACGGACACACACACACGGCTGACAGGCTGACATGGCTGGCACTCGGAAGAAACAAGCATCCCAGGCTCATCTCTGGCTGAGTTCCTTCCTGTTGGTTGGTCAATAAGGCAGGAACAGCATTCCATGTTGTAAACAAAAAGTCTCTATCCATCCATAGCGAGATGAGAAAAGAGGCGGGAGGAGGGGGTAGAGAGAGGGGCAAAGGAGGGAAAGAAACAAATGACACAGTGACACACAAGCAAAAGAATGATGAAGACAGTGCAGGGTGAAGAGGTTAGAAAGAGAACAAAAGGTGAGGAAGTAAAAAAATAAAAAATAAAAAAAAAGAGCATGAGTGCAATAAGGTGAGCACTCCTATAAGGTCTGTGGGTGAGCAGAGTACGGAGGGAGTAAAGGGAGATGGTGATATGTGCAGAGCTGGAGACATGGCAATGTTGGGTGTGTGTGTGTGTGGGGGGGAGGAGGGGAGGTGGGGGCAGTGTGTCTGTGCGTGCGTGCCGGGTGATGTGAGCAGACAGAGCAGTGTGACACACGTCCTCCACTCGGCTCCGCTCTGCTTTCTCTGCTGTGATTAAAGAAATGTTCATGCTCCGGATGATGCCAAGAAAAGGGGGAACGGCGAGCACAGTGCAGTGCACTCGGCAACGCTGCACTCTCCACTCCGTCTCCCTG